AAGAATGAAAGAAAACTTTACTATTGTGCCAGGAGTCATGAGGTGTAATCAGAATGTCTAAACAAATAACAACATGGTGGCAGCCAGGCTCTGGTAATAAATCCACATTATTTTTCACATGTTAATGCAGTCTCGCACAGCTGGTGGGATGAACTTCCAGGTTGCCATGCTGGATATTTTTTGTGCAAATTACAATGCAAGCGATCAAGGCTTCTTTGACCTCCCAACATCTTGTATCTATTCAACTTGTGTGGACTGCAACAAGAGTTACCTAACATTATGATGAGACAGTCAGTCAGTCAGTCATGTCTGTGGCAAAGAACAGGCCCTTCTGCCCATGCTCAGTCATGACAAGGCTTTGACATCACTGTCAGACTAAGAGTGACTAAAACTGACAATCCCCCCTTTTTCCTCAGAGAAAGAGAAATAGGAATAAAAAAAAAACCACACTGCTACTGGGGAGGAGGAAGGGGGCACAGTGAACAGGGAAGGAGGGAAGGAAGGCGGAAAAGGCCTCGATGAATCACACAGCACGCACCGCAGCGGCTGAGGTAGCCGTGTCTTGGAGTCCATGAGTCATGTTTATCATGCAGCAGCACTGGGCAGGGATTGCACAACTTTTCTCTCCATTAGGAATGCTGCCTTGGTGCAAATATTTACCTGATGATGGAAAACAGCAGCTCTAGTGCATCTGAAAGAGCTGTGAGCGACAGTGGCCCTTCACACTGAAGTCCCTGACACAGGAACCCTGCACCTCATGCAGCCTGATGCTCAAATAAAGCAGTCGAAAACGTGCCATCTCCTCCATGCAAGCATGTGCATCGTTTCATTGAAAAACTACAAGAAAATCAACAGGATGGAAACATTTAAGGCCACCGCCCAGAAATCCTTCTCTCTTCCTCTCTCTCTCTCTCCCATCATTAGCCGGGCTTCCCCCAAGAAGAAGCAGTTTCTTTTTTTCTTTTTTTAATTAACGACACATCGACTGAGTGTGTTTTTATAACCAGGTCAAGACGGCGTGAGAGTAATTTCCCACCATAAAGCAGATTTATGGCTGAGTACAGTAAAGGTTAAAGCGGATGATGGCGGAAACGCTCCGGTCCACCTTAAAAACTGAACCCCTCCAGTGGACAGCTCCGTGGTGCTGAAACAGCTCCGAGCGACATCTGTACACAGGGAGGGGGGCAGGGAGGAGGTGGTGGGGGTCTACGGAGACTTTAACAGTCACACACACACACACACACCCACACACACACCCGCCATGGCAACAAAGGACACCTTAAGTGATCTTTCCCTGTCATATTGTGTAATGTCGGTGACGTTCGTGGGGAAAAGGTTAAGCAATTTGGCGTGCTTTTTACGTGAAAATGGCGGCCGTCGCTGCTAACCCAGCCCATTATAGTACAGCCACAACAAAGTGAAAGGGGAACGAGGTTGGAGTGTGTGTGTGTGTGTGTGTGTGCCGCATTAGAAAATGACACCCAGTCGGTAAAATAAAGTAAAAGCGGGTCAAGAGAAAGCTGCACCTCACCATGCTACCAAACCTGCTAGTAAGCTCCAAGAGGCAGCAGCAGCGTGTCACAAACACTGAGCTAATAACAACTCACGGTCCATTCTACAACACCGACACCTTGTGTGTGTTATTTTCTTACTTTAACATCGACTGTTCCTTCGCTTCCTCCTTCTTCTGTCGGTCCATGACACCGAGGATGATCTTCCTCTCCTCCTCGGTGAGGTGGCTGAGGTCCGGCATCTCCGGCATGGCGCCGGCCGCTGAGGGAGCAGCGGCAGCGGCAGCAGCAGCGGCGGCAGCGGTGCCAGGGCCGCCCCGGGGCCCGTGTGGAGCAGACATCTTTTACACACAGTGGCTAAAAAACGAGAAAGGCACTGTCAACCAGCAGCATCGTGGGCGATATATATATATATTTTAAAAAATGTATATGTGTGTATGTTACATTTAAAAGATTTCAGATTGGCGGTGGGGTTTGCAGGAAGCACCGCGGCTCTGCATGCAGGCGGCATGACATGTTGGTTAGCAGCATCAGTGCATGTATTCACAAACTATCAATTCTAGGCTAAATGCTCATGATGGGGATGTCAAATACGCTGCAGCCGAGAAACTCAGCGTTGCAGGAAGAGGGGGATAGCAAATATTCAAGCTGCTGCAGACTGAAAATTTACACATTTTTTTTTCTGAGAGACAAAACACTCAAGATTAGAAACAGATGCCCTTAAAAGAATCAAGAGTGCACAGGCTGTACAGGCTACAGCCTTCAGGTATTCCAAACACAAGCTTCCATCCATCTATCCATCCATCCAGGGATAAAAAAAGAAAAAAAAAGTAGAAAAAATACAGAGGATTTTAAAAAAAAAAACAAAAAAAAAAACTCTTGCCTTTTATTTTGCAGTCATGTTAAATCCTGTCTAACCCATCGCTGCTGCCATCCTTTAGAGGGGTTTCACTCGCATGTTGAAATAAAAAGATGCCCGGTCCGTCCTTATTTGTTTTGGAGTCCTTAACCCTCCTCTGTCACTCCGGTTAGCTCGCCTTCCTCCAGGTTGGTAATTCTTGGAGATTTCTTAAATGCACAAAAATGGATGCAATGAGAGAGAGAGAGAGAGAGAGAGAGAGAGAGAGAGAGAGAGAGAGAGAGAGAGAGGAGGTAAAATAAAATACAAAAAAAAAAAAAAAATCCAGCTAGGAAGAAGAGGCGGAGCGATGGAAACACGTAGAAGAATAAAGCCGAGAGGACGTGCTGGATGTTCATTGACAGCAGGCGAACAGCAGCCGCAAAAACACGGAGTGGAGGCGCAGCTGGAGCAGCGCTGGACACAAGCAGGAAGAGCATCATGCATATTTCATAACCAGATCATGAGCGCTAAGAGAGAGAGAGAGAGAGAGAGAGAGAGAGAGAGAGAGAGAGAGAGAGAGAGAGAGAGAGAAGGGAAATGTGAAGTGGGGAGATAAATAGGGAGGATGACTAGTGACGATGGCCGTAACTGCAGGTGTGGCAGCGGTGCCGGTCACTGCCTTCATTGCGCTCTACAGTACACACAGGCTTAGTGGCCAGCTGATGTCAGAAATTGTGTGGCTGCTACATGGAGAGGGAAAAAAAAATCAAGCCACATCAGTTACACAAGGCCTGTCAGCTGTGTTGATGCACTATACTGTGAAAACATTTTTATTTGTTTTATTTTTTTATTCTTATTGAAGTCATCTTTAAGCAATAATGGTACAAATCCACAGATTTTATATTCTCTGATGTTAATGTTTCCTCATTTGAAAGCCAGCTATATTTATTTACACAGCCAGATGGGATAAAACAAAACAAAAAAACAAGCATATAAAGGCCTGGATGACCTGTCGATGTCTTCCTCTAAGTACAGACCAAACCAAAGCCACTCAGACACATACTTCCTAACTATATAGTAACTCAGAATGGCATTGCCTTGGAGCCTCCAGCACTACTGTGTGGAACCTTGGAGTTATATTTGACCAGTATATGCCTTTTAATTCACACATAAAACAGATCCTTAGGACAGCCTTCTTTCCCCTGCACAATGTTATTCAACATTAGGAACACCCTGTCTCAGAGCGATGCTGACAAACTAGTCTGTGCATTTGTTACTTCCATGCTGAATTCCGTGTCATCAGATGTCTAAATAACTCTCTGAAAAACCTCCAGCTGATCCAAAATGCTGCAGCCAGAGTTCTGACAATAACCGATTAGAGAGACTTTTCTCCCATTTTAGTTTTTCTTCATTGGTTCCCTGGAAAATCAACAACAGAATTTCAAATCCTTCTGACAGACAAAGCTCTTGATGACCCAGCTCCATCTTAAAGACGTTCTTGTTCCCTGCTATCCCGATAGAACACTTGGTTCACAGACTGCAGGCTTACTTTTGGTTTCTAGAGGTTCCAGAAGCAGAATGGGAGGCAGAGCCTTCAGTTATCAGCTCCTCCATTGTGGAATCAGCTCCCAGTTTGAGTTCAGGAGGCAGACACTCTGTTTGCTTTTAAGATTTGGGTGAAAACTGAAATGTTAGGAAGGCTCAGGTGACTCTGAATCTTCTCTCAGTTATGCTGCTACAGGCCGATGCTGCTGGAGGACTTCCCATGATGCACTGAGCAGCTCTCCTCTACTGTCCTCTCCTTCACTCTCCATGTATTTATGTCATTAACTTTGTGTCTTCTCTCTCCTGTAGTTTTGTCCTCTCTGCAGGTATCTCTTGCTCTGGAGCAGCACATTTCTGATCTTCCAATGCTTTTCTCACCATCATCCCAGTGTTCATCGGTCTCTTACACATTGTCTTTTCTCTCTCCTTTTCAACCTCACCACATCCAGTCGAGGTAGACGACCGCCCTCCCTGAGCCTGATTCTGCCAGTTTCTTCCTGTATAAAGGGAGTTTTCTCTTCCCACTGCTTCCAAAGAGCTTGCTTACAAGGAAAAGTTAGACTTGGTTTCATTTCTGACTATAATTTAATATTGCAAGATCTTCACCTTCCTATGGGGTAAGCTGGTGCTATAAATAAAACTGAACTGAAATAGCGATTGATCAATTACTTGAGAAAACTATTATTTTAAATCAAGTAAATGTTGGTGGCAGCCCTATTTCAAATGAATTACTCCCATTTAACAGTGTTAAACAACTGATGGCAAAATGAAGATTGACCTTTCCACAGCTGTACACACCCTGATACACTATCATGTCCTTGCAAACCTTCTCCATAGCCTCTTCCAGAAGGTCACTTCAATCCTGTCAGACATTCCTCAGCTTTGACCCTGACTAAATATCCCTCCTCTTGATCTCTATCCCAAAGACAGCCCTCTGTCTCGGTCTGTCAGGCTGCAGTGTTGATAGGATTTAAAGGACAACATTAAGAGGATAGAGCCTCTACCTTATTAGGGCTCTTAGGAAATTAGCACCACTGCAGAGATCTGTTACAAGTCAAAAAGAGGGAACTTGAGTTTGAATTTGAAATGATTCAGCCCACTGATTCTTGTCAATCTTACACCATGGCAAAAAAATAAGTTTAGAAGTTTATTATAAATATACATCAAAAAACAGTGTAAATCCCATACATGTAGAATTTAAGTCATGCGTCATGTTAACTAGCCCATGGGAACTTAATATTCAGAATATGAGGAGAAACACAAAAATTCTTTTTGAAAATTTTCTAGCGGATTTTGCAAGGAAGAACAAAATATTCCATCTTAACTTCCAGATGGGAATTTAAAACATTTCAGGTGTCACAGTTCAGTTTAATGTCTAAAAGTCAACTTAACATTGGTAACACACTTTGCAAATGTCTTCGAAGCCCAAACATGCTTTAAAAGAAATGTTTGCCTGACTGGCTAACAGCGACAGTTCTTTTTTCCACTTCATTGTTTTCATTTGCTACTCAGCTAAATGAATCACTTTTCATGTGTACGATTGAGAGCAACACCATGAATGTCCTCATGGTGAGACTGTCCAAAAGTGTGTACTGCATTCTCAATACGTGTGGTTATACATCATACAACCTAGTTTCTTTGAAGCATATGGTGGCATTCATGCCATCTCTAGTAGTTTTAAAAGACAAGTCCAGCACATTTTTTGAAGTCCTGATTCATGAAAAAAAAAAATATATATATATATATTTATATGTCTACCTTAAGGAATCTTAGTTTTTACAAGTGTGATGTAAGTAGGTATGAAGACAAAGAACATTCTTTTGGGACTGGATAAACTTAACCTGTCTTTAATTCCTCCTGTTTCTTAATAGTTGAGGTGGTCAAGGCTACAGTAATGCAAAATGTACATTTCCACAATGCAAAACGTGTAATTAGTCAACCAGACATTGGAGTTTACATCTGTTCTGTGTGTAAAGTGAAACCTGCTGAAAAGGCAGAAGTCGATTCGTTTTTTTGTAAGTATTTACTGTCCGTGTCCTTGTACGTCAAGCGATGCATAATTAGTCAACCGATGTTCCCGCAACTGACAAATTAAACAGCTTTTTAATCCTTAAGACAGAGCAGTCTCAGTGTGTCCCATGTTGGTGTGAACTCTGTCTCCACCTCATCATTTAACAACAGTCTTTAGGTCTTCTGTTCTCCCCTCCAGCTCGCTCTATTTCACCACAGTGACAACGTGCTTCTCCTTCTCGGACACCACAGGAACAGTTCCTGGTCTGCTGTGCTTGCGGACGTTTCTCTCCCTGAAAAACAAAAAGAAGAGGAGGAACTGTGACTAACTGGAACTACTGGTGAGAATATTCAGGAATGGATGAATGGAAGAGGCAGGGAGAGAAAAACAAACAGAAAGGAGGAGGGAGGATGTAACTGAATAGGAGACTGTTGAGCTAACACCTACGTCACAGACTACACTACTGCTCTCTGAAAATAATGCATAAAGCATAGATAATACATCATTCACAGTTTGAAACCTGTGTCTGACGTATCATAGTACTGCTGGTAATTAGAAAAAAAAAAGAAAGAGCCTCGGACCGAGCTATGAATCACTGCACGGCAGGGCAAACTGGAACAATCAATCCACCATACAAGCTGTAAATGAGTATGTAAGGCCTATTGAGACCATGTCATAGGGGGCAGTTCCATCTGTGAGATTTTCCATCAGCCTGGTGTGGCTGCTAAGGTCAGACCCATTCTGGCAGCAGCCCAACTCACAGTCACCTCTACGTGGACACAGAGGGACTTAATGCCATTTCTATAGCCAAATTAGCTAGCTCAATCTCTATTTCATGAGGAGAGGAAATGGGTGTGGGGGAAAGGAGTGAATACGCACTTTCTCCGGCGAGCTTCCTTCATGATTCTGAGCTCCTTGGTCTGGTGGTAGATGTTCTTGGGCAGATGTCGGTGATGAGCGATCCGTCTGATTTGCGGGTGGTGCTGAAACTTCTCCTTCAGCTTCCGATTGTAGTTGATGGCCTGCCTCTCTCTGGGGGCCAGCTACATCACACCGGAGACAAAGAGATGCTTAGGTAAAACACAGGAAAACAATATCAGGAAAATAAAGAGAGGGAGGTGGATAGAGGGACAGAAAATGACAAAGTGAGGAGGAGAAACCAAAGACAAAACAAGACAGAAATGGGGCTGTATCAACAAAAAACAGAGACAAGATGACACTCTGGTTCTTTGCACAATCCTGACTCCTGCACAACTCGTGTTTTATGATGACAAACCCGATTCTTAGCACTTACAGGTCTCTCAAACTAAATGACAAAACATATCTTATACTTAATGATCTTCTTCAGCACAGTTTTGTTCAGTTTTCATTGAATGTAACATAATCCACTCTGTGAGCACCTAGCAGGCATTTTGTTGATACTGATGTGAGTTTTTGTTAAGTCAGTTCTATGACAAGTGATGAAGATTATGTGCTGTGATCTAAAGTTTTTCTACAGCTACCAAATGGATGTTTTGGTGAGACTACGATGTTAAGGAGTTGTCACAGATATGGTTAAAAGAAGACAACATAGGCTGTTGGTACTGGATGCTGAACGGGATGCTAACGTCATTACTCTGCATCACAGTCATGTTTTTTGGCTCAAGCTGACCAATCATAGTTCTTGCTGTCTCAGTGATATGTCTGCAGCTTCATGCAGTCACATAGTTGCTACGTTGCAGTTACTGTGTCTGCCCGAGAAATAATTTGACTAATCATTCCCCATAACACTGCAACTTGTCATTTTTGCATGTTGGCTTTTGTACAGAGTCAACCAAAGAGATGTGGCTTGTTCATTGGTGAGCAGTAGAGGTGCTTGTGGGTGGATTTTGTTCTTTCAGACAGAGTCAATGCCAGCCGTTTCTGTTTCTACTCTTTATGCTAAGCTAATTTTACAGACTGTTGGCAGGAGTTTCTTATCTACTGTGTTGACATTTTCATACACGTCACTTCTGAGACAGTACACGACTGAACAATGTCATTTCTCTGCTGAGGACTGCCTCATTCTTTCAGCTACAAACAGTGGATGACCACTGTTGACTCAGACAAGTCATAATTATTCTTGTAGCACTCATTTACAGCAGCTTCGGTCACCATGGTGAGAAAGAGAAAGTGTTATCCGAGGTGTTCTTTAATGTCTTGCTTTCAGTAATGCTGAGTGTATCGCCGATTAAGAGTTTAAAGTCTGTTGCTGACCACAAATTTCCCCAAATTATCTTATGCAACTTTTACTGCTAAACAAACTCGCATAAGGTTAAAAAGATGCAGCCTCTATTCAGCTCAGGTGGTCATTTTTTAAATTACTAACAGTTACGGTATGCTCTCTTGCATCATAAAACGTTGGCCCGTACAGTAAGCAGTAACTTCAGCTTGACAACATGCTCATTCAAAACCAAATCAATGTCTTTTAAAAAGTGAAGACACCAGCTCAACAGCATCTCTCCCTCTCTGTCTCACTCATAAAAACCACCGGCTCGCTGGACTGGTCTTGGCTGGGGCTGCTCTCCTCAAAGGCTTTTATTCTAATTAAAAGCAATGATTTGTCTCAGATTCAATCTGTTGGAGAAGAGCTGTTAGATGCTGATCCTGTTGTACTAAACTAATTCCCCTGGATACACACACGGTTAGCCGGCCTAATATTGTCTCTGCATTATCTTAACAGGACACACAAAAATGAGACAGCAGAACATGAGGCACCACTTTGATCTGTGTTGAGAGGAATCACATTTAACAGGATTCTTCTAGTTCTAGCCCAGAATTTAGTCAAAAGACAAACACTGGATGCAATGTGTTTTGAAAAATGAAGCACAATGCACTGTACTGTAGCGTAGAAACTGGTGTCAGAAAAGCACCTGCACAGACAGACTGTGTGAAAATTGCTGTTGCCAAAACTCAGCAGGTGAATCTATTTAGTCGTCTTTTTTATCCAAAAGTTGACGGATATATAGCAAGGTGCCAGCAACCGCAATCATCTGATGCTCTGTTAGTCTGGGTTAGAAAAACTAAGCTACACGCAATCCACTGCCAAAATCTCCTACGACAAGAACGCTGAAAACTATATCCACCATTCCTTATTAGCTTTGGTCTGAATAAAAACAACAACTGGTGAAGCAGACTTTGACAGAACTGTTTACTGCATTGCCCCGCAATGGACTGGCAACCTGTCTAGTGTGTAGCCAGCCTCTCGCTCAGGGTCTGCTGGCCCCTCACAACCCTCTACAGGCTAAGGCGGGTACAGCTAATGGATGGATGGTACGCTTCTGATTGAGTCAGTGCAACTGGCAGCACAAGCCAGACAACAACTTGACTTTTATTCTTGCTTATTTGATCCACAGCCTTTCTTTAGGCTTCAAGTGTATTTTATTCAACTTTTCAGTGACTGTGTATTGGGCTCTGAGCGCTGCCAAATAGCAGGTGACCACATAGAAACAGTGTGACTGAAAGCTTCCAGGAAGCTGTTGCTGTTGTGTTTCTATTACAACACAATATGGTCAGACTCTCTCATTTTAATTATTTTAGTAAAAGTTTATCATTACTAATTGAAATAATGGGTAAATCTATACAAACAACACCCACTTCCTCATAATAAACCACAATTATCTGTTCATTATGCTACAGGATCTATGTATTCAGACTGTAAATACTCTAATATCGCTCAAAAGCAGCTCCTCTTCTGTCTAACAAGTCAAACATTAACAGAGCACATCAACATCAATCAAACCAAATGTGCCAAATCCATCCAGTTAAATAAACGGACAGTGTTGAGTCAGAGTTTCCAGAAAAGAGGAAATTCATTTTAACCAAGAGGAAATACACAGATGCTGATCGATTCAATGTGATTCAGGTCTTGGCTAAATATATAAAAGGGTCTAATTTAAATGGAAGTCAAAGGCTGCAGTGTGCAAAGAAATAATAAAAAATGAGTGATGTGCAGCAGCTGATAGAGAAGTCCTCATCAGTCCAGCATGATGCCTTCACACAAAACCTTGATTCAGCATTTCAGCATTTCTTGATAATTAAAGACCCTCTCAGTACAACTTGATTGTTAATGCTTCATTATGTTCAGAGTGGCCCCGCTTTAAGTGATTGGCCGATTTAAACTGCTGATAGGAGCAGCCCTTGTCTGATCTCTTTAAGTGCAAAGCTTGCGAATAAATCTTCTCTTACACAGTGACAGTAAAACAAGTGCCAAAAGTGGGCCAATTTTCCACTCTGAAGCTGCATTAAGAGAATAAGCAAGAGTGAATCCCGATTCGGAGTGAAAGATGGCTGCTGGAGATGGCACACAAGATGCCACTGATCTTTATTATTCAGCCATAACTGGGATTTCAGGCACTGGAACACTTCCCAGGATTTTACAGGAGCTTTATTTGACGGTTGAGCAACAACATCAATGCCACCATTTTTGCACTCACACTCTTCATTATCTGAACACAATACATGTGGTGCACACTGACAAAAGACGGTGGAAATCTGTCGTGATTTTTTTTTTTTGTTGGTAATTTGTCAAACAGCTGCAGAAGCGTTTGAGTTTTTTTGGACTTCCCCCTGCCACAGGAACCACTGTGCCAATTGGTACATTGTACTTATTGAGAGTGATTCTACCCTAAGTCAGCATCCATCAGGGCATTTGGCAACAGTTGTGCTGTAGCTCCTGGCATAGTCACCCACTCTTACACTGCCGAGTTGGGCGCGGAGCCACGGCTATGTCGAAGAATGCAGCGAACTCATAAAACAAGATCAGGTAATAAACTGGAGAGGGATACAGTATATTTGACAGCTGGAGAAAATACAGCTGCTGAGCGCTACGCAGACATTATGATGAGGGATTACCCAAAAAGCTGCCAGAAAGCAGCAAGTTGCTTTTAGTATGAAGTTGCAAAAGCAGGAACAGGACAAGGCAGGACTCACCACTCCTAGTTTCTCAGCTGCGTTGGCTTTCCACAGTCGGATGTTCATTTCATCAGAACCGCTCAGGATGTACTTGTTGTCTGCCGACCACTTTACGCAGATGACGTGCTGCATGCGCTTGGTGTGGTACACTTCCCTGGGTTTCAAAAAGACAAGTGCAAAGTAAACAACACATTAATCCAGAGGAAAACAACTAAAATAAAGCACTTACACAGATGATTACCAAAACCCTTACTGATCAGAAACACTATGCTGGTATAACACTCAATAAAACGTTTGATTGGGACATGTAAACCCCAAAACAAACCAATGGCCTCCAGAACAACACATTTGAAGTGTTTTCTGATGTGATGTCACAATGACAGAACGATATTCTGTTTTGTGCGTTGAAAAAGAAATCCATTTTGTGATGCAACACCACTATGGGTAATGTTCTGGGACAAAAACAGCCTGGTTAGGGAAAGATCATGTTTTGGGTAAAAATGACCACTTTGTTAAGATTAGGAGGCCTTTGTTGTCACGGTTACAGTAATAAACAGTGATCTAAGACTAGGAAACAAATGCGGTCATGGGTAAAACAAACTAACATGAACTAACAGTAGGAAACAGGATATGTAGAGCAGTTCTTTGTCTAAATGCTTTGCTAACGCTGGGTTTAGCTGCGCTGCCATGGTTACAATACTAAACACCTGGTTAAGGTTATAGAATCATACTGGTTGTGTTTCTTTCAAGAAACCAGTGGTAACGTGATATGAAAAACAGACAGCGGTCTCCCTTGTTGTTGTCCTGTTGGTGCATTTAGCAGCTCTATATCAACACATTACTTCCTCATTTGCTCCCAATGATCACAATAAGCAGTAAAACATAACAGTCAGAATTACTGCTCCAGCTAAAGGCCTTTGTCACTTCAACATAAACGTGTGATATATCTTTATTTCTTCCTAAGATGGCAGTTTCTTCAAAATACAGTTTAACTGCATTTTAGCATTCAGTAAATAGATCTGAGGACAAAACCAAGTACACAAACTAAATCACTGACAGACTGGAGAGCTCAGGTTCACAGTTTATTTAAGAGAGATTTCATCAGTCTTGTTTTTCTCAAATGCACATAACCAACTTTTTCCCACTGCACCAGATACCACACAGATGGTAGAATAATCGGCCTTTTAGGTGAGCCAGCACCAGGGCCCTGACCTGACCGATACTGGCTCACATGCAGGACTGATTGAGGTCATTGTTTGCCA